ACATCCAATAAGTTAATAGCTATATTATAGCTTATTAAGTATTTATGTATTATATAAGACAAGGTAAATAACAACAATAATGCCATATGTTTAAATCACTGTAACAGTTTGGTAGATATTTCTCAGCTAAATATTTCACTAAAAACAAAAAATAATCCTCTTATTACAAAAATACAATATAAAAATGAACTTTCCAATGAGTTACTTTTATTGCTTGTTTGCCCATACATACCCGGACAATACTGGATTATTTAAATTCATTCACTGTGACTTAATGTTTTAAAATAAAAAACATATTCAACTAAAAACATTTTTATCTTTCCATATTTTTTTTTTTTTTTTTATAGATATTATTAATGTTATGTCATGCACATATTGAATTATTTTTAAAATTTATAATTAACATTATAGACAAAGATATTGACTTACAAATATAAGCTTCCTCTTGTTCTTTGGTGAGATTATGAGGCAGTACCGTGGGCATGCCTGGTATAAACGTCTTCTCTAAGTCACTTCCACCCCATCTAGATTTCTTCTTCCGCTTGCGGTCATTAGCATCAGAACCTATAAATCATAGAAATTGTTTATAAAGTACAACTGACTTTATATGAAACAAATTATTCATGAACTTACCAGACGATTCACGTTTATTCAATGAACTATCACCGTTCTGAGGTTGTACAAACATATTCATGTAATTATTGACACCCATATTAGAGCTCATATTTTCAAGCGACACTAAATTGTGAACAGCCTGTTACGAGTTTTAGAAAGAAAAACTGAAATAGACGTGCGTATAGATTATTAATATTTGAAGTTTACACGTACATTGCAGTTAATGATCATATCCGTGGAGATGATTCAACAATAATATATTTCAAACGAAACTTACCTAAGCGAAAATAGTAACAAACATTAAGATTGATTATGATCGACGATTAAGTACTTGAATATTGAACCACAAATTACGAGTTGTCTGAGCTTCTTGTACGATCTATAAATCATATATTATAACAATTAACAATGCGTCTGCGACCTTTAAACAAGGCTTGAGAGTTAAGGTTTGGAATCTGGTATTGAGTTTGAGCCTGATAAATTTATTCGTGTTTGTTGACGCCTACCAATACTCTTCGGCGAGCCATTTTTCGTTAAATTTCTACTCCATGATATAACCTTAATTTTTTTATCACTATTCTTATCACTCATAGGTAGAATGGTTTGAATTTGAGTCACATGCGTTCGCGTTGAGTTTTTAGTGTGTATATACTTTATTGCATGGCTAAAGATATAATATTTATTATTTAATCGTTGCGTTTGTTTTTCTATTGATTATAATGTCGTTTTTCATACGTAAAAATGTTTCAAAACGCAAAAAACCGCCGGTGCGCATCACTAACAACAACATTAAGAAAAAAAAAACACAAAGTCAAGCCGACGACGAGATCTCATCCGATTCTAGCGAGTCAGACCACGATGACCAACAACCGTACTCGTCCGAATCGGATGAAGATAAGTACATTACAGCGAGTGAGAAAAAAGTTCAACTTGCCAAGAAGTATTTAAGTGAGATAGAAGAGGAGGAGCGTCGGCGTTTAGATGATGACGATGACGAACAAGTAAACAAAAACGTTCTAAAACGTTTAAAAGACGATGTCCTAGATCAGAAAGGACAATTGAAAACGAAATTGGCCGACGGTTTGTCGTTTCCAACTGACATCGTTGAGTTGCGAAACAGAAACCATGCCAAAGCTATTACTTGTACTGTAATATCATCCAATGACAAGTATGCGTATTCCTGTTCAAAAGATTCTTCCATAGTACAATGGGACTTAGAAACTTGTAAAGTACATAAGTCTTTGAGCTATAATCGCAAAAGGCCTCAATATAATCCTACACATCACAATTATCCAGTCTTATCTCTTGCAGTTTCAGATCATTATTTAGCATCTGGAGACAATTCTGGTCTTATTGTGGTTCGAAATCCAATTACATTGGACTATATTGGATCATTAACAGGCCACAAAGATGGTGTTACTGGATTGACAATTTGTAATGAATCAAACCAACTATTCAGTTGCTCGAAAGATAAAAGCGTCAAAGTTTGGAATCTTGTAGATATGTGCTATGTGGAAACACTTTTTGGCCATCAGACTGAAGTTACCTGCATGGACATGTTACAAAAGGATCGTTTAGTCACAGCCGGAGGCATGGAAAATATTGTTAGAGTATGGAAGATACAGGATGAAACACAATTGATATTTAATGGAACAGGTGGTTCAATAGATACTGTTCAAAAAATTGACAGTGCACATTTTGTCACTGGCAGTGATAATGGTAGTGTCAGTATCTGGGGAACATTGAAAAAAAAACCATTGTGTAATGTTGAAAATGCACACGGAATTAACATTACTAATGGCCAACCCAATTGGATATCTGCAGTAGGAGCTTTAGCGAATTCAGACCTGATAGTGTCTGGAAGCAACAACGGAACTATCAAGTTTTGGAGGTGCACAAACAACTTCAAGTCATTATTACCATTATTCGATGTTCCTGTTAAAGGTTTTATAAATGGACTTGTATTCACAAATGATGGTAGTCGATTGATTGTAGTTATCGGCAATGAACACAGATTTGGCAGATGGCACGAAGTAAATGGTGTCAAAAACAGCTTGCATGTAATTAAACTGAACTTTATTAAAAAATAAATTATACAAGTCATAAATTATGTTATTTTAATTTAAAATATACAATTTTATAAAATTATACTCTAAGAAAGTAATTGTAATTGTCCATAAACTTTGGATCTAAGAATGAGACTACAAATAGTTCACACAACTACTTGTTTATTTTGAAATGATCCTAATATATGAATTTTTAAGCCTGCCAACATTATTCTGGTCCTCATAACATTTTTAATGATAAACTTTGTAAGATCTCCTTTTCCAGCTAATAATCCAATTGCATGTGTCAAATGATCTTTTTGTTTTTACATCTTTCAGCTGAATTTATAAAAAATATATGTCAATACAAAATAACGAAATATATAATAAATATCAAATTTATACTCATCAATAGGATTAAGAATTAATTTTAAAATTTACAAAAACCTGACAATCCTAACAAAATCAATCAACAAGTGTCATCCATTATATAATTTCCTATTAATATTTGGCATTTGCATGCAACTAGTAAATGTGGAGGAAGACAACTACCTATTTTCACTTCTAAAATATTCTACAAATATGAATTATTAAATGACGTAACTTACAAAAATACACAATTCTAATTTTGAAGATCATAAAAAAATGTATCAATTAATAATCTTTGCTAAAACAACAATAATGATTGGAGTGAAGAGTATAAAATTAATCCAACAATACCAAAAATTTATAAAAATAATTTAAACTTTAATCTGGTTCCCAGTTAAATTATCAATCTCTTGAAAATAACGAAAAGTAAGTATTACAATTTATAAATACAATTTATTTTTTTACTGTTGTGTATACTAAAGCTGAATAGGACAAGTATGATACAATATTATACCCAAACTCTACATCTTTTAGCTGAGTGTCAAAAAATGCTAATGAAAGAATAGATACCTTAAAGTTAATGACTGATACCATAGCGTATAAATGTACAATAATATATCATAGACACATCATACATATTTTAAAAGATTCAACAAACAGATTATCCAATCTTATTAACGCCATCGCGTTTTCTACTTCGAACACCTAGACAAAATCTGCAACCTTCTGTAAGTGTTGCTAGCCAATCATGTTAGGAATGGAATTTCTGATTTACACGTATTTGAATTTGACGTTGAACCTAATGCCCAATCGAAGATGATCGACGACAGGTGTGTAGATTAATAACCAATGTTTCTTGGCCTATGCAATGGCACAGGCATTTTGCGCACCTCACGGTTGTCAGACGTCGACTTGATGGACTATACTTTTCTTAGAAGATTTTTCGTGGGGTGATACGTCATTGACATACTGAAATTTGAGAGCCCTCGGCCCTCGCATAGTAATTGTTTATACAAAACACAAATGTTTTAATATAACACCGGTCAATGCGACGGAAAAAAAATAGAAATAAGACAAATAAGTACACATCAAACATTTAAACATAATATATAGTTAGTACACGCACGTGTAGCAAATCAATGATAATGCGATGATTAAATGTGCGTCTGAGTGATAACAGTGATAAATTATAAACAATTTAAATTTAAAACGATTGTTCAAATTTTTAATCCGTAAACGATAGAACTATTATTAATACTTAATTTAAAACTATATTATTATTTAGAGTATTTACTATTACTTGCTATAATACCTACTACCTACCTCAGAGCTTATGTAGTCTCATAATATGCTAATCTATGTGTAGTTTGCCCATCGCCCATGACCTATGCGGCTAATGGCCGATGGCTATGCAAATAAAATTGCATTTCCTAATTGCATTATTGAGTTTTTGAAGTATTTGACTCATTTGAGTATAGGTACTCAAACACTTCATGACCAATATTATATAATGCATTACAACGTGTACAGCTTTGTCCGTGCGGTCCTCGTGTTAAAAATTTAAAATTTTAATAATAAGTTATTGGGCATTGCTCTAGAAGTAGAGTTACTTCGGAGTACGAGCCTAACAGCGTGCACTCGGTCTTCTTTTATTACTTGATTAACGGCAGTTGCCCATAGAATTTAAATTGGATTGTTAGAGGTAGTTAGTTACTAGTTGTTCAATGTCTATACTCGACGCTATCGACACGTACGTCACTGCTAGCCATTACACGTGTCGTGTCATGTGACTGACTGACTCGAGTTATTGACGTCCATATGATGTTGGTTATAATTTATAATTCATAGCATCTTAGCTATTAGCACTCGCAGTTTGCAGTCATACCTGATACGGGCCGTCTAGAGGTATATCACTGTGCCTAGCGGTCGGACCGTCATTACTTCTACACAAGTTATCATAATTAGGTAATCATGCACGCCGCTATTAATAAATATTCTTTGGTCTGCAATACTACCAAAAATATATTGTGCGGCTGTCTCAAACGGAATTCGTCTCATTTCGTATATCACCCTGAACGAGTTTCCGATGAATTCGGTGAGATCGTATTTTTATGAAATTATTACTCCTATTGGTTTTGTTACAATATTTATTATTTTAACACATTGTAGGTAAAACTAGTAAGAAGAATATGTATCAGGCGATCAATAGTGCCATGGACTTGGTGCTTAGCAAAGATTCTAACAGCGGTAATTTATCACTAGTTAAATTATTAATCTTATATGTTTATGATTTAATTACTTGGTATTATTTTTTTTTAGTCTTATTAATATTATTTATTAGTATTCCATACTAATTTTTACAACTTTGTTTTTGTACAGTCTATCATGATAATTGGATGATTATTTTAATACATAAATCTATTTATTAGTCAATAGTTTTTTTTAGAACCCAATATATTCTAGTTTTTATTTTAATAAAAAAATTAATAACACTGACAATTGATAAGCGTATTATATTTCATTAGTATTACCTGATGAAATAAATTTGCATATGAATAAAGAATTCTAATATATTCTATTACAAACAATTATACTCTATTTTTCCTGTATGTAAAATTGATATTCATTTTTATTAAATATTTGATTGGAATTATCTATTAACTTCAGGTATTATTTTAAAATTTTATTATACTCAATTAACATTTGTGTTAGGTACATATGATTGGTCCTATAAAAGGTTAGATTCTGACTAACGAATGTAATAAGTAGAATATATTTATATATGCTAGATATGAAATGAAGAAAAGTCAATGGGTTAAAAGATAAAGAATCATAATATCTCTACATAATCAAAATCTACTCCATCTCTCATTAATAATTTGTAACCATGTATAAATCTATTTATTGTTGAAAATAAACAAATACATTTTTTGTTTTGTCCAGCACTGAAAGTTTAATTATACTTTTCTTTGAACAGTAAGGTTATTGTCATATAAGATTAATATATATAAATGATGAAAATATAGTTTATACACTTTGGTCATATTATTATATTAATATTATAATACAAATTTGTCATATACCAAATAAATAATAATACAAATTAATTTACATTTTTTTTTATATTATAGTATATTGATTCTTGCATGTTAAATTGTATTCGTATTGATATTATAGTTGTATTTGGCGAAGACATAGGATTTGGTGGTGTATTTAGATGTACTAGTGGCCTCCGTGAACGATATGGTAAAGATCGTGTTTTTAATACACCACTCTGTGAACAAGGTATCGTTGGTTTTGGAATCGGTCTTGCTGTCGCCGGTACCACGGCTATTGCAGAAATTCAATTTGCAGATTACATGTTTCCTGCGTTAGACCAAGTACTTGAATAATGTTGTTTCTGAATTAAATCTTTTAAAATAATACTGATAAATTGTCATACAAAATTTATTTTTAGTTAGTAAACGAAGCAGCAAAATATCGGTACCGTTCTGGCAGTTTATTTGACTGTGGTAAATTAACTGTTCGTACTCCTTGTTCTGCTGTTGGTCATGGAGCGCTTTATCATTCACAGAGTCCTGAAAGTTTTTATGCTCATTCGCCTGGACTTAAAGTAATTATTATTTTAAATTTATGTCTAGTAACTAGTAAGTAGTAATTGTTTAGTAAACACCTCGACATTTTATTATAATTAATTTTAAAATATATATCATACTATAATATTAATAACATTAATATTTCTAATATATTTTTACTCTTTAAATTATAAGTTATAACCATAAATTATTATTAAAGACATTAAGTGTTATGGAAAGGTTATAAAAATGATATAATAATAGTTTTAAATTTAATTAATTTTTGTACAAGATGTTTAAAATTTTAAGAAGCATTCTACATTGTAATATATTTTCTAAACACTAAATTTAATTAAAATGTTTACTTGATAAGTAAAATAATTCAAAAGTTCTTTGTATACAAATGATTACAGATTGTTATGCCTCGCAGTGCATATACAGCTAAAGGGTTACTTTTATCTTGTATACGAGATCCCAATCCATGCATATTTTTTGAGCCTAAAATTATGTATAGATTAGCAGTTGATGATGTGCCTGATGATGATTATGAACTTCCAATAGGAAAAGCTGATGTTTTAATTGAGGGTAGAGACATAACATTAATTGGATGGGGTACTCAAGTGCATGTGTTGCTAGAAGTCGCAGAAATAGCTAACAAAGATTTTGGAATTTCTTGTGAAGTAATTGATCTGGTGACCATTCTACCTTGGGATAAACAAACAGTGGCAAATGTTAGTTGTCAAAACAATTTTAAATAAACATATTCATTTTTATATTTATTAAATCTATTATTTATTAATTAGTCTGTGAAAAAAACTGGCCGTGCTATAGTGTCTCACGAAGCTCCTTTAACTGGTGGTTTTGGTGCTGAAATATCTGCTTCAATACAAGTAATTAATTTTTTACAAGACTATCAATATGATTTATAAATAATTGTCTTTTTCAGGATGATTGTTTTCTCCATTTAGAGTCTCCAATACGACGTGTGACAGGTTATGATACCCCATTTCCTCATATTTTTGAACAGTTTTACTTACCAAATAAATGGAAATGCTTACAAGCCATCAAAGAATTAGTTAATTATTGATTGCTTACAAGCCATCAAAGAATTAGTTAATTATTGATAATGGAATAGAAAGATTTTTAATTTAATTATTATTAAATTTGTATTTTTATTGCTTTTTAAATTATTTTAATAAATTTAAAAAAATAATGTTACTTTTTATTTTATTTTAATTATTGCAAATTAATCAAGTATTCAATTTAAAAAGTAATAATATATTGGAAATTATAAATGATATCTAACGATACACTTTGGTGTTATGAGTTTGACAAAATTTGTTATTTATATTTACTTAATACAGTCGTCACTCGTTAATTCGAACCTCGATAATTCGAAAAACTCCATAAATCGAACTAAACGCTAAGTCCCCTGAGAAAATCTCTATAATTAGAAGAGAATGCATGTATTCCAGTTCCCTCGATAATTCGAAATGTCTGACTGTGGGACACACTCTACAATTTTAATTTTTATTCCATAAACCTCTATAATTCGAATTTCCTTAAACGCAATTATATGTAAGTTCATATGCATGTACAATGTACATACATATGAAGATAACGTACAATCTATTTGACATAATCGTAATGGAACTTATAAGTTATAACATTGGTGGTTTAATATTATCATAGTTGATAAACGTTATCGTACCTTACCTACCTAATCTAAACTTTTGTCAGGATTACGTCAATTTTTTGAGTAATCTGAAATTAACGAAAAAAGATGCGATACAATTTTTAATGCTATCAATAAGTTAGACAACGCTATGAACCAAATTGTGGCTACTGGCCACATTATCACACACACAAAAAAAAAAAAACAGATTTCTTTAATATGTAAAATATAATAATAAAATAAATAAATATCAATTAATAATTATAAAATATAATAATATGTATGTATGTATATTTTGTATAATAAATAGATGTCAAAATAAATGTAATATATACATACATACAATAATTTTTCACCTCTCTTTAATTCGAATTAATTATTTTCCCTCAATTATTCAAACACTCGGTAAATCGAAAACCTCTATAAATCGAATTTTTAACTTGGTCCCCTGAATTTCGAATTATCGAGTGACTACTGTAGTATCCAGGTTTCACTAATCATTAGATGATAACAAAAAAATATTAATATTTATTAATTAAAATAAATTCTATCAATTTTAAATAATAGCTCTACTGAACAGTAGGTAGATGTCAGGTGTCGAGTGTACCTTTTTATTAGGTATATCACTGTATTGGATGAATCATATTTGAATTAACCCAACAATTATTTTAATAATAATATTAATACTTTAGAAGTGTTAAAAATATTAGATTTTTTACTCGTTTTTGTCGGTTCTAGTACGAATATAATGACTTGTTCCACTGAGTTACTAGTTGTTATATTAACATATTTCTACTTAAATATTCGTAATGTACTTCAATAATGTGATATGATTCCACATGCTTTAACATTAATGCCAATTTTTGCCAAATGTTTAGATTAGAATTTTTTATACATGTGCATTATTGTTATTTAATCTGTGGTAGATAATTGGTATATTTTTTAAAATATTTTGATTTTTTGAGGTATTTATAAGCATTTTTGTCATTTTCGATTTTTAAAGTTTTTATTTTTTTTTATGAATATCGTTAATCGAATCAATTGAAAAGCTTGAAAATTTAATACAAATTACTAATAAATAGTTCATATCGAAACCTAAAATTTTAAAAAGATGTTTAAGCACAATTTAAAATTTAAATTTGAAAAAAAAAAAAACAGATATTTAAATGAAGAATAAGAATTGTTACGATTCAAAAATATTTTTCGCGGAGAATTGAAAATTTTGCACATGCGCTATTAAATTAAAGACACAATATTTTCAAATGTAACGTTTTCGGGAAAAAAAAATTATTCAATTTACTGTATTACTAATAAGTAATTTTTAGAATAAATTACTTTATAAAAGCAATCTAAACATATCATAAAATATACTTGGTTAGTATAGGCTATATATATGTTAATAAAACTTCTTTGTCCAAAATCGTTTTTTTGTAGGTATGCAATGATTTATCGTTGAATTTAAATCTATTTACCTACCTGTTGCATACAATATATAGGAATATTAAAGTGACATACTTATGAGATATTCTCAAATCTCAATACTTACTATTTAGATATAAACTAGAGAAGTTATACTTATTTTTTTTCGATTATTTTAAATAGTACTAAGACATTTCTATGTTTGACTTAACGAAGTACAAACTAGATCCAATTTGTTATCTGATAGCAATCTCCTTTGAAGTCGATAATTGCAATTATTTTTTGCTTGAATAAGTGCATTTAGTTTCAACACAAAAAACACATGTTGTATTGTTGTCAGGGTTTGCATTTGAAAATAATATTTTGTTATACATTATTTACTATTAAAACGTCATACAAATTTTGAGTTTATCGTTATTCAACTTTTGCGTTTAACGTTATTCAGAGACAAAATGTTTAGTATATTTTATAATTTATAACTATTAAATAATTGGAAATTAATTAACTCTTTTTGATATACTATATATAACGTTTTGTTTAATAATACCTATATCATATATTTTATTAATCATTGTGTTTTGTTTTGTGTTATTTAATTATTTATGTTTATAGTTTTCCGTTATAATTACGTTTACAAATTCTAATCGTTTTTTGTCAAATATAACGTTTGCAAGCCCTGATTGTTGTAAAATCAATACATTAGATTAGATAGGTATTGCTCCGTTCATAATCTAAAAAAGTATTGTTATTAAATTATAATACTTTAAGTTATTGAACTAGTGGTAGACAAATAATTACAAAGTGTGTAACGATATTTTGTCCAATAACATTAACCTATTGAAAAATTTTTAAAAAATAATTTTAAACTATGAAAAATAGTAAGTTTTAAATGTACTGTTTGTATTTACAAATATCATAATATTCATATTATTTGAACTTTGCAGCCCATGCGTGTAAATAATTATTGAATTGAAAACACGATACTCTATTATCACAATCATAAGTTATTTTGGAGGGAGAATTTAATTATATATTTATATAATATTTATAATTATATGGTTTATTTGGGCCTGTGTACTAAACAATAAAACTATTGTTTTCATATAGTGTTTATAGTAATATAGTGTATCAAGTTTTGTATTTACTTATTCCATTAACCAATGTTCATCATGAAAATACATTTATCAATAAAAATGAAAAGTTAAAACTGTGATACTTAAGTAATAATAAAATACTAAAAAATATTAATATTAATACTCATAATTAAGTATTGAAATTAAAGTGAAAAAACCTTCCTATTATTATTAGCGGTTCATTGGTATTCATGTAATCTTACAAATTAGAATTTACTAAGACCATAGACATACAAAGATAATATATATATTTTTAAATGGCTAAATAACTCAAATACAAATTTGATATTTTCGCGGTTTTCACTTTTTAGCCACGATAATTGATAATTTTAACGATTAAACAAACCGTCTAATATGATAAACAGTTATCGTAGTTGTGGTAAGATATTATGTTAATAAAAAAAAAATACGCTTAAAATGGCAAAACACTTAATAAAATTGTAAGGTTTGATAAAATAATACCGCATTATTTCTAGATTTTAGTATTTTGCTAGTTTTAAACTTCTTTAATGGTTTAATATTTTTTTGCTTTACATTTTGTCATTCTACATTCATTACCTAATCAGTACCCTTGCTTTAAGGCGGTTAACCATGTTTATGATTAAACTTGTATTGTTTTATAAATACATAAGTAATTTTATATAAAATTATACCGACAATTGAGCCATTAGAGTGATAAATTTCGACCAGACGAATTATTTCACATAATTTTAAACACATTTATTTACATTGACGATTAACCATTTTATCGTTGTCCTACATCCTTCTCGATTTCGTAGGTACTGATTTATACTTTCAAAATTTTGGAGCAGAAATTTTTATCTTGTAGAAAAAAAATTGAATGTAAAATTATCTTTAAATGTTTTATTGAACAATAAAGTACTGAATTTCTTAAATTTTATTTTATTTTTTTTTTTTGACATGGGTGGATTTAACAATAATTGTCCACAATATTAATTAACTCATCAGTTTTTTCTTTTGATTGTATTTTATATTGAATCCTACTCAACTTTTACCTGTTCATATTTAATGCATTATGTAAAATAAAAATAAATATTAAATTATATTTTAGTCTATATTCTATAATATTAACATGCTTACCAATAAATATGTAAACATCTGCTATCACTGTCGTCACTCGTCACTCTAAATAATACATATGTACTTGTAAAATACCACAGAGATAATTCAATTATAAACAGATGAACTCATACTGATACCACACCAATAAACCAAATGCTTAAATAATGTATAGTATTGGCTATTGTATCTTAGACCTTAGTATCTTTATATTCTACAAAACAGTTACATAAGCTATAATAAAATATAACCGTTGTCACCATCGACGACTTCCTAAGAAAAATAAGTATTACTTATAGGTACTTTGATAAAAATGAACAAATACAAAATAGACCGTTCAACATTTTGAAATACTAAAATAGAGCGAAAAAATTATGTAATTTTATTATTCGTTAGTTTAAATTTTCCCAAAAAGGGTGTATGATGTCGTATTGCTAATTAATAAATAAAGAGCTCATCGTATACATTATACATATCTATATTATGCGTTTGAACCCCTGCACATTTTGAGGCGTCTAAACGCAAACAGGAAGTCTGAAATCTTCGAACTCATTGTTTTTTTTTTAGACAAGTATATGCATTGCTATTTTCTATTTATTTCACGATATTATTTTTGTGTCAGCGGAGGTTGAATATCATATTTTAAATGCAAACTTTAATAATTATTTCATTGAATTTGTATGTGTCATACACTCATACTTAAATACCTTTTTATAGATATATATTATTATTTATTACTATTATTGTAAAATTATATATATATATATAGTATGTACATATAGTTATATAGTTATATATCATTATATCCAGTATCAATTATCATAAAATACGACCGCGACTGTGCATCCCACG